AAGAAGCAAAAAGAAAAAAAAAAAAAAGGAAAAAACGACAATTATACTTACTATATTACTCATTTGTTATCTCTTAAAGATCTATGCCTTTTTTCCTTTTATTTTTTTTTTAATTTCATTTCTAATCCTTTTTTTTTTGTTTATTTTTTTTGATATTTAAATTTTATTTTGAGAGAAAAAGAACGAAAATAATGGAATTTCATAATTAATATTAATTAAGGATAGAAATGATTTTAAATTTAAATATTTGAAATTGAAATAATTAATTTTACAAATTAAGATCAACGAAATGTATCGTTTATGTTGAAACTATTTGTTATAATTAATCAATGAAATAGGAAATATAGCATTTACATTAGCTTTTGTATGATCAATTATTTTATAATAACGTAATTTGAGTGATATTTAAATAGGAATTGGTTTAGATATGAGAACGGTAATGTACAACATTTAGCATAATATTCAAATTATTTAAAATATTTTTAATTTTTTAAAAACTGTTTAAAATTTAATGAATGAATAAATTTTCTTACAATCTAAAATTTGAATAAGTCATTCAATTTTTTTTGCATTTTTTGTTTTATCAATAGATTACAATTATAATATGACAGAATGATAAAAAATGACAACGAATTAAAAGTTTTAATTTAAAAATACGAAGTAATTTATCAAAATTAGTTAAATCTTAAAATTGTAATCATTCCCGAGATGTTTCATTTATTTGATATATATTCCAGTAAGTTATATCTATCACATTTAAACTCATCATCGCTTTTTCGTAAAAGAAAAAAAAAAAAAAAGAAAAGTATAATTTACATCTAAAATATGCTGAATAAATCTTAAACCATTTTTTATCAATAACAAAAAAAAAGAAAACAAAGATTTATCACTTATCTTATTTATCATAAATATCAATATATGCTAAAATAGTCCATATATATATATATATTTGAAATTTAATTGAAATATTTCAAATATTTCCATTTTTCTCTTATCTCATTTCAGATAATTTAACACTGATAAGTAGCATTTGATTATCTCTATGTAACATTTTGTTCTTATGATAACCGATTAATGATCAAAAGAATTAATCGATTTTAAGAAAAATTGTTTAGATTTTGATCAAAAATCTTTTACACATTTCATTCATCCAAAATTTTTCCCATCATCTCATTTATCAAATCCTTTTATTCTCTCATTTATTGTCACCGTTCCTTCTCTTCTCTTCCACCTTCATCAAGTTGACTTTTCGTCGAATTTTGTGAATTTGTGTTAAAAAGATTTATGACATTTTATAAAGTGATCAGATGAGAGGGATAACATATTGCAATTTACTAATTTTAATTTAATTAATGGATGTATGAAATTGAGACAATAAAAATGAAATTACATTTTTAATGTCTCTGTTTTGTTTTTTTTTTTTTTATTCATCCAACTGTTAAGAATAACTTTATCAATCAATCACTAGGGATAATTTATCAATCAATTTTTTTTACCAATCAATTGTTAAGAATAATTTTTCAACCAATTTTTATCATTCAATTGATAAAATCATTTTTATCAATTTATTGTTAAAAATAATTTATCAATCAATTTTTATCATTCAATTGTTAGGAATGATTTTATCAATCAATTAATAGGGATAATGAATTGTTAAGAATAATTTATCAAGTAATTTTTATCATTCAATTGACAAAATGATTTTGTCAATCTATTGTTAAAAATAATTTATCAATCAATAGTTAAGATTGAAATTACAAATTCCAAATTGAATTAATATAAAACGAGGGAAAAAAGAAGGGAAGAAGGAAGGAACAAAATTAAATTGAATAATTTGCCAAATATTAGCAAAATAAAATTTTTTTTTTTACATCTTCTAAGCAAAAATAATTTTTAATATTATTAATTATATTAATTCATTATTTTCGAATTTATAATTTAATCAAGCAAAATGTTATAATAAATTCTACTTTATAAATAATTTCAGCAATGATAATAATTTCATTACTGATATTTTCACATTATCATATCATTTACCATTTCAAATTTATTTATTAATTAACCAATCTTAGCGTTGAAATAAATTAATGCTAATTTTTTTCAATGAAATTTGTTTCATTTCAACAATATTTTTGCAATCCAATTTTTTTTTTCTAGCACCGAATTACTTCTTATCATAAATAATAATTTTCAAATTATAATTACCAAAATTTTCTTATCGATTAATAATTGAATTACTCTCTAATCTGAAATTATTAATTAATTTTGGGACAAAATCTTTTACTACTTTTTTACTTCTAAATGAACAAATAAATGATTGTTGATAATAGCATGTACATATATTTGAGTAACAAATTAATTGATAACAATTAACATTATGCTTATCACTTAATTATGTGGCAAATACTTTTATGGTTTTCTTTTTCTTCTTTATTATTACAATGATAAATTTGGCAAATTCATGATAAATTTGATAAATTCAACAATTTTTTTTTATCACACACAATTCCCCACGATGTAATTAATTACTGTATACAATAAAATTTTTAATCAAATTTAAAATATTTAAAAAAATTTTCACCTTTTCCACAAAGTCGCATTTTTTTGATTGAAATTCGATTAATTACAATAATTACTATTATAAATGCTGTTTCATTAATTAATTTCGGTAATGATTAACAGGTATTATAATTATTTATAAAATTTCAAATAAGGAATGTTTATTGCCTCACTTGATGACTGATAAAATCAAAAATAGAAAAAATAATAATTAGTTAAAATTTTTAATTAAAAGCGCATAAATTTGGAAACAAAGAAATGCATACTATTTCACGTTCATTTTTGAAAAATTTTGTGCTGATAAAATTAAATTTATCACTTTTTAAGATTTCAATTTTTTTTGATTTTATTTTTTTCATTGCAATTTTTTTAAATAAATTGTTATCAGAAAATTATTATCAAAAAAAATTTCACTCAGGAAATAATTCAAAAACTTCCCAAATATTCAAAATTTGACTCGAACTCAAATATTTAAATTCAAATATTCAAAAGCATTTAAAATACTCAAAAATCAATGTTTGTACTCAAAAATATTTTAAGTAATAAACAAAACATTAACACTATTTATTTTCATTTCAATTATTTTGTTGCATGGCATTTTTCTTGCTAATTTTTTTTCCAAAGTAAATAATTTTAAAATTGCAATTTTAGAAAAATTTAAAGCAAAAATTTTAGAATTATTACTTGTGGAGAAAAAATTGATTGTAGATGTGAAATTTTTAATTAAAATTGAAAAAAATTGTTTTCTGTTTCACTGTTAAAAAACAAAAAGAAAAAAAACTTATCATTTTATCAAATATTATCTAATCAATACGAAAGATATCATCAATTTGTATGGTTTTCTTTTGTTTCAAAATTTATTACATTTTTGTGTTTGAAATGAATGAACGAAACAGATGGATAATACAATGGGTAGTTTTCATTAGCGATAAGTTGGACAGGTAAGAACAGGTAGAAAAGGGTAAAGGGGAAAATTTTAGAAGAGAGAGAAATGATTTGATTGATGTTATCTGGTTTGACATTGTGAACGAATTGAGCATGTATTTTAAAGGGTGTGAATTTGGGGACTCAAATATATTTCCATCTTTCAATCATTACCACCTGTTCGTAATTAATTAAATCAATTGTAAAAAAATTTATCAAACATTGTTGAAAATGTAAAAATACATGATCAATGAGATAATTATAGCAAGTAAATTTTTTGTTGAAACATTTTTGGATTATATAAGGTTAGAAAATATTTAATAATGATAATGATAGGATTGATATGATTAATTAGTGATAACAGGTAACAGTAATGTGTTATTGCAATAAAATTAAAAGAAAAAAAGACGGATAAAATTATCGTACTGATGAATGGAAAATATATGGAAATGGAAAAAATATTGTCACGTCATTTTCTATTTAATTAAAATTTAGTAATTATAATTTTGAATTATTTCAAAAATTTTATATAAAAATTTAAAATGAAATTTATAACTTAAAATTTTACAAGTTTCTTTTTGGTTATTATTATTTTTTATTCTTTTACATTGCAGGCGAATATTTCCGGCATTTAAAGTGAAACTTTCCGGTTTGGATAAACGTTCCAAGTATATTTTATTAATGGACATTGTACCAGCTGATGAATGCCGCTACAAATTTCACAATTCACGATGGATGGTAGCTGGTAAAGCAGATCCGGAAATGCCAAAACGTATGTACATACATCCGGATAGTCCAGCAACCGGTGAACATTGGATGACAAAAGGAGCAAATTTTCATAAATTAAAATTAACGAATAATATTTCCGATAAACATGGCTTTGTAAGTTTTATTTTTAATTTCAAGCAAAAAAAAAAAAAATGGACTAAATGATAATTTTGAACGAGAATTTTCACAATATTTCAAAATCTAATTTCATTAAAAATATGATAAAATTTAAATTCAAATTAATTAACAAAATCCAAATATGATGATAAATTTC